GGAGAGTGGCTACTCCCTTTGCTTCAAGAGAGACAACAGTGGAATCAGAAGAAAAGGAGTTTGTTTGTTGAAGACATTGTGGTGATATGGACTCATCAGCTCCTCTGGGTTCTTGGCAAGCTCATAGAGGTTTTTCCAGATAAACATGGTCTGGTGCGTTCTGTGAGGTTGCAGACTAAAACCAGCATCAGTGAAAGACCAATAACAAAACTTTGTCTATTACATGAAGTGTAAATAACATAAAATAATGTAGCTCCTACATTGATAATTTTCCTAAAGTGAGAGATTCATCAACAAACACAAGAGGAGATGGACTTTAATCAAAAAATGTTTTATATATATAGTTTTAAAACATGGTCTAGTTTTTTGTCTTTCAGTCAGCCCTCTGCTAAAAAGAAGACAACAAAGCTCTTTTTTATATATATATTCACAATTTTAGAATGGAGTGTATCAATACAAAATGTTTCATTTTAGCGAATTAGAAAAACTATGCAGCTTACTCTCTGGGGGTGTAGGGGGACAAATCATATACTGTTTTGCTTCAATGCACTGCAGCACTGTTTTCAAAATAAAGGGTCTGGAAAGATTAGTAAAGAATTCCTTGAAATGCAATTCTTACATGGATTCATATACAACATTTAAAACTACATAATAATTATTGGGTACCATGAGACATGTAAACAAAAAAACTTTTACATTTTAAAAGAAGGCTAAGCAGGTAGATTGTTTGACAATTTTAGTTTGTTTATGCAGTTTATTTCTATAATAACAAACTCACATGAAGACAAACATGAGTATTGTTTCTTGACGATTGAGAGTCATGAATGGATGAATACATTTCATAGACATATCTTATAAATTATAAAATGCACTGACATAAAAAAAATCATTACCACTAGCTGAAACCATCAGTACATGGCTGTTGAGTTCCATTATATAGTGCTTTCCTCAATGGTGCAAAAACAATCTATTTGTAGAATGTCTAAATGGATACTGTTCTGTTGAAGAAACCTCTGGGTAACAGTATCTAGGCAAATGCATTGAACCTTTGAAAGATCATTCTAATAAAAAGGAATCAAAACCATTTTTTCTCAATCTTTTCTAATGTTTCATAAACTTATACTCCAACATAAGTCTTCATCTGTAATTCATTACTTCTTTGGTATTCAGGTAATATTGTGTCCAACACAAACCATGATATACCACATTCATACATAAGGACCACATTTTTAAGTAACTAAAGAGGAAAGGAGAGAAGAAAGAAAGTAACACAGATTTGGAACAACATGAAGGTGAGTTAAGAATACAAATTTTTATTTTTGGTTGAACCTTTCAAATTTAAGAAACATTGTGCATTTGTGAGAAGCTAGGAGAAGCCCTCAATAAAGAATTCTACTGAATAATAACCACTGGTGAAATCTTCAAAGTGTGAATCCAGTATTGGAAGGGATTAAAGAAGTGGAGTGCATCAATGGGGAGTGTTTTTGTGCAGAAAGTAAATAGTAATCGAAATATTTCGCCCCAAAATGAAAATTCTGTAATTTATTCAACCTTCAATCTGTACGGCTTTCTTTCTTTAAGTATGCTTTAATAATGCAAAGGTATAATGTTCAAAAATGCACTGGCAACTCTTCCATATAATGGAAGGGAATGGGGACTGGGGCCATCACACTGTGGTCACACGAGCATCGCGATTTAAACACGTCAAAAGCAAATGAAACCCATTACAATTAGTAATGCTGTCTACGCTGGATGTGGCACAACACAACAAGTAGTCAAAAGTAAACTGATGCCCCATTCTATTTCTGGCACACTCCACGTGCTTACGCTACTTCTGACAACAGGACAAATGGATTTGTAGCGTTCACTATGACATATCCAGTGTAGGAAGCCTCAAGCTGTTGTGCCTTGACGCCACAATGGTCGTGCTCAGTGTGGACTTGAGGCCTGTTGCATGAAGCCGGTTTCAGTTATTACCCAGGTTAATTTAAGATTAATTTCAGCAAACTCTGTTTTTTCGGGCTCAAGAAGGTGGATTGGTTTTTAGCGGTTCATCGCCATGGTAACTTATGCTATACGGGTAACCTGCTAACCCAGAGAAGGTTTTATTCTGGTTTAGATATCGCAAACCTAAACTGGACCAATCAGCTGTGAGCAAAGTGACGTCAAACACACATATATATGTGTGTGTGTGTGTGTGATGCCATAAAGCCACTCCCCCTGTATCTCTTGCTCCAAATTAAAGCAGTTATAGTGAAAGAATTTTGCGGCAAATTATTTATTATATTTATATTATATGAATTATAATTATTTATAATTCATATACAATTATTATAATTATTATGTGAATTAACAATTAACATTAAACTTTGCATTTAAATTAATATACAGTAAATATATACATATAAATACAAGCTTTAATATAAAGCTTTTAAACTGATTAAGCTTAAGTGTTCTTTTTAACTCTTCGTGAACTTGTATAAATTATTATTTAAATTCAATTGATTCACTTGCATTTTTCATAACGATCTCTTAATCTTCAGCAGAAAAGTGAATTGTGCTGCTCTCTCAATCAAACTGATGCTCTCTGTGTTTCGTGTGATTGGCTGTTCGCTGCAAATGACACACTGTCAGGTGCTCATGCTTCAGAGTTAATCATAAACTCTGGACCAAACTCTGAGTTTACAGAGAATGTTTGTCAGCCCACTGAACCTGATCTAAATCTTACGGAATGAAAATATATCCATATATTTATGATCAATATATCATATGGTGTAAATATACTGAAACATATATTAAATAATATATTGTGTTAATATATTGTGTTATATATAAAAATAAATATAATAATACATAAGGATTTGCCACTTTTCATATGTTGGAAAATATATTTACAATACATTTACTCCATTGTAACACCATTCAGTGTACTTTCAAAACGTGGAAAATAATTGCCTTACATTTCTCAAGGACATTTTACCCAAATCTAATCTAAATTCAACCTAAAAAAGAAGCTTCTAACATAAAAACATACAAAAGAGTGTCTGGAAAAAAATAAAATGCATTCATTTCTATTTATCAAACTGAAACTTAACTGAATAAAAAAAAAACCATCACCTTAACAAAAACATTAACAGATCACTGCAAAAGATTAATGCCTTTTAAATAAGGCAATATGTAGCATATCATCAATTTTTCCTGATCTTCTCCTGGACTGAAGGACAGGCTCTACACTTCAACACAATGGTGACCCAAAAAACTCAGACAACAGAAACCCTTTAAATCCCAACAGAAAATTAAACACTACCAGATCTCTCAAGATCTCAGCAGAGGAGGGTTAACCAACAAACACAGCATTACCAGCTTCACTTAATACTAACAATTGGACTTTATTTCTGTCAGATGTCTACAAAACCTCTTATTGAGGAGTAACAGAGCTTTAGATGTTGATGATTTATTGAAAATAATATCGTTTTACAGTCACCATGGTGATCATTGTTTGCTTTAGTTGGGCTCTTGAATTTTTGACTTCATAGCTTTCTTTAACTGACTGTTGGAACTGGTTATATGACGCAGTCATTATGGCTTAAAAGGCGAGATAAAATTGGTTGATAATCTATTTATTGATGATGACATAATCATCATTAATTATACACATAGAGTCCCAGGTTTATGACACAAATCTGTTAATGCGCTTGAATGTTGTATTATAAATGCTGTTGTATTAATCTGATACTTTTATCTGAAACACATTTTTGTTGCAATGCATTCTGGGAGCTACCATAGGATGTATTGCAGCATGAAGCATGTCACCATTGTTGAGATTCATACACTGATTCCTGATGTCTGTTTCAAAATGTTCTAAGGGTTTAAAAAAGTATCTGATTTCAACAATAATGCTGATCCTCTTGCTATAATAATCCAATATTTAAATGCATCAAATGATGTAACAGACTTTTGAGATAAATCTTGGGATTTATGACATCATCAATAAATACCTAACAGATTATCTAAAAAATTATTGTAGCTTTTTTAGCAATATGACTGTCTTAAACACACATTTTCAGCAATCAGAGAAAAACTAATGATAAAAAGTTAAGGGTCAAGAGCCCAACGATCAGCAAACACTGATCAACATAATGGTGACTATAAACGTTATTCTTTTCAATAAATCATCAACATCTCTGGTAATTCTCAATAAGAACTTCTGCAGACACCTGAAAGAAATAAGGTTAAACTGTTAGTAACAAGTTCATCTGAGATCTTCAGAGATCTGTTAGTCTTTAATGTTCTGTTAGGATTTAAATGGTTTCTGTTGTCTGAGTTTTGTTGGTCAGCATTGTGCTGAAGAGTAGAGCCTGTGCTTCAGTCCAGCAGAAGACCAAGAAACATTGATGATACTTCTTGCAATATCTAAAAGGATTAAATTTTGCAGTGATATCTATTAGCTACATTAAGCTGATGTTTAATAAATACAAATAACTGCTCAGTCTATCATTGTCTTAGCACTCTTTGACATGTTTCTACATCAGAGACTTATGAAAAAAATATGTATTTAGAAAACAAGTGCCTTAAATTTCTCGAGGATGTTTTACTCAATTGATGACATTCTACAGTGAATTTATCGTAAAAAACAGTAAAAAAGCGGCAATTCCTTATGTATTATTCAACATATTTTTTAATATAAAGCAATATAATAAAGCAATATATAATTTAATATATTTTTCAATATATTTACAAAATATATTTAATTGTTCATAAATATATGGAAATATATTTTCGTTCCGTAAGGCATTTGTATGTTTTTGTCAACTCCAAACCCACTCTGAAGCTCAAGTTTGTTCAATTAGCTTCCTGCAACAGGCCTATGGTGTCAAGCTCCACAAATGACAGAACAGTTTTGCCCGGATATTAAAAAATCTGTTTCACATAAGGAAGATAGTCATACATATTTGGGACTTGAGGGTGAGTAAATGATCACAAATTTTCTGGGTCAACTATTCTTTTAAAGGGTTCTTCATGCTGTCCCACTGGCAGAATATGAGAACTGAGGGAAGTGGGGTCTTCTATCACTGTCAAAAGACTCCATGTTTTCATCTGGAAAAAATGAAAAAATGAAATGAATTCTTCTTTTTCATTTTATATCATTATAAAGCAACCTGTAAATCACCACTAGATGGCGCCTTCGTTATCAACCAAATGTCTGTTGATTGAGAGTTACTGTAAGCATCTAGTGTAATGTCACCTTGGCCTGGGGGTGTGATGGTGATGGTCTGCCCTGTAAACTCCACATCAAAATAGCGAGTGTCTGTTTCTGAGGTTACCTGAGGCTTAAAAGGTGGAACAAGCTGTGGAGAAACAGAAAAACAATATTATACTTGAGTGACCTCCATTTACAACCAGGAGGCATGTCGTAGCATCCCACATAGCAACATTTTGACGGCCCAGATCCGGCCCACATCTGGCACACGTGGAAAGATGATCTGGCCCACATGCAGCGTGGAATGACGGCCCTTGAACGGCTCACTCCTGCTTGCCAGATCTGGGCCACAAGCAGGCCATAGCAATGCCACATGTCAGCCAAGAGCAAAGAAATAAACCAGAACTGGACCTTATCTGAGCCATAAAATCTGTGTATATTAAATATGGAGTCATAAGCCTGTTACAAGCAGAATCACTGAAGGAAAGAAGAGAACAGAAAAAGAGATGAGCGGAAACAAGAACTACAACTGACTTCAGACACAGCCTTAGATGAAATTACATTAAATCTCAAGATCTCAGCAGAGGAGGATTAAACAACTCCACAAACAGCATTACCAGCTTCATGTATTACTAACCAGACTGACTTTATTTCTGTTAGACGTCTACAAAAGTTTTTATTAAGAATTAACTGGGTTTTTCATTTGTAGTCACCATAACAGTGATTAGTGTTTCCATTATTTGGGCTCTTAACTCTTATTAAATCTTTTGTCTTTTTTGGCTGCTGTGACAGTGTTTGTCAAACACATTTGCAACGGCAAAGAAAGCTAAAGTGAAATGATATTATGTGATGATGGTTAATTCTGGATGGGTTTTAAAATCACCATGAAATAGCCCGATTCACTGGTGTCACTTGAATCTAGCAATTGTGTTGTTATATCAATACATTCACATTACAAACCCTGTGTTACTGCAGTTATAAGATTTTAACAAACATGAGCACAATAAGTTGACACACACACAGATATCAACATGGTGACAATCAGCAAAATATTAAGATAATCAAATTAACTCATGACATTTAGTAGCTTTTTTGTGATGTTCAAACAAAAACAACAGCAAAAAATAAAAGCAAATATTAAGAATTAAATAAAATAATAGGAAAGTTCAGCTGCATAATTTATTCATACTGCAATGGATGCTGGGAGTTTTGTACTATGATGGTACCCAGCATGCATTGCAGCAAGGCACTTTTGATTGTCACCATTGTTGAGATTCATGTGCTGATTGTTGATGTCTGTGTGTGTCATTGTAGATTAACTGTTTGTCCCCATATTTAAAAAAAAAAATTCTAACTGATTATTATAATACTGCTGGATATCATGCTGTTGTAATGCAGTGTGTTACGTAAATTTATTTATAGCACAATAAAACTGTTAGATTTGATCAGATTCAAAATTCATCATCAGGCTATTTCAATAATGATTTTAAAACTAAAGGAAACACTAATCCCTGTTATGGTGACTTCAAATGAAACAGAGTTAAACCTCTGTTATTTCTAAATAAAACCTTTTGTAGACGTCTGACAGAAATAAAGTCAGTCTGGTTAGTAATAAGTGAAGCTGGTAATGCTGTTTGTGGAGTTGTTTAATCCTCCTCTGCTGAGATCTTCAGAGATTTAATGTCTTCTTTTCTCTTCAGTTGATTTAATCTAAGACTGTGGCTGAAAGTCAGTTGTAGTTCTTGTGTTTCTGCTCGTCTCTTTTTCTGTTCTCTTCTTTCCTTCAGTGATTCTGCTTGTTAACAGGCGTATTAAGGCTGAGATGACTCCATATTTAATATAAACAGATTTTGTGGCTCAGATAAGGTCCATTTCTGGTTTATTTGTTTGCTCTTAGCTGACGTGTGGCATTGCTATGGCCTGCTTGTGGCCCAGATCTGGCAAACAGGAGCGGGCCGCCCAAGGGCCGTCATTCCACGCTGCTTGTGGGCCAGATCATCTTTCCTCGTGCGCCAGATGTGGGCCGGATCTGGGACGTCACAATGTTGCTGTGTAGCATTTTGTCAATGCTATTATTATTATTCACCTTCTTCTCATAAACATCTTGCCACTCAATACCTTCAAAGAACTTATGCTGCATGATTTCTTTTGCATCATCTGGACCTCCACCTAACCTGCAGACAAAAACAACAACCCAAGAACAGATAAACAAACACCTGAACAGCCAGATTCCCTTGTTACCTTTAAGGCCTCTTCCAAAATAACAACTTTCAGAGAACTGTTAACAAAATCACACACTCATACGCAAAAGTATGCTTTCACTAATTTTTCACAGTCAAACTTTTTTTTTTTGTTCTATGTTACACCTCTTTCACAGCAATTCCTTAAAACATAATAGGGCTTTTCACACCCTGGGTCATTCTAAATACCGGGTAAATGGAAATCCTGGGTTTAGGTTATTTTGTTTTAAAAATTAATCCTGGGGTATGCATAAGATGACATGTCGCACTGTAAATTCCTAAACACTGGGTTAACGTTGTTATTTGCATCCCAGTCAACACTTGATCTCACAGTGATCTCTCCATATGATCACAATATGAGGTCACAGTGAGCTAAAAGTGTAACCGCACAGTGCACTCAGTGTGTGCTCATTTTGTGGCCACAATGTGAGTCACCCCAGCAAGAAATGTTATTGGACATGGACTCCAACATCGCTCAGACGTCAAAGTTTGGTTGACGTCTAAACATTTGATGTCTGGCTCCAACGTCATTAAACACTCCACAAACAGCATTACCAGCTTCACTTATTACTAACCAGATTGACTTTATTTCTGTCATATGTGTGGAAAAGTTCTTATTGAGATTAACAAAGGTTCAAATGTTAATCATTTATTGAAATTAATAGTTTGGTTTGATGTCATGGTGTCATGGTATGGTGATCAGTGTTGGGCAGTTTGACTCTTGTCAATGTTTTAATGTTAGTTTTTCTCTGGTTCCTGTAACTGTTTGTTACAGTAAGAGAAAACAGTAAGAGAAAATTTGATCAGATTATATCTTTTGCCACTTGATGATGATGATGATAATGATTATTTTTATACCATGGTCTGGGTGAATACTCGATTCTGATTGGCTGCAGGGTGTCTATTAAAAAGTGATAGAGGACACCTAGTAAAGGAGTTCTGGTGAAACTGACTGTTTACTGTTCGACATTAATAAATAAATGCGCTGGCTACATCAGCTGTGAGTAACCATAGCAACAGGCAGTCAACGTATCTGTTTACAATTTATTGTATCAAAACAAACATCTAGTTAGCTGTTACTATACCTACCTGTGTTTAAAAAAAAAACCGAAAGTGTAACGCCCATGGCTAGACAACCCTAACTTACATGAAAAGAAATACCTTAACTTTCTGCCTCGTAAGTTAGCTAAACTGAAGGGTTCTACGAGCTGAGTGGACTATAAATATCTCCGGTTGCGTAACCAGAGAAACCAAGTTATTGTTTGTAAAAACGTTAGATTTCGATTGTAAAACTAATTAAAATATAAACTAATGCTTTAAAAATGTGTTATTTGGCAGGTGACCATGGTATACTTGGGTTAATGTCCTTCGAGGTGTCCATTGTCAGGGTATTAATGGACTTCGGCGGAGGCAACCGTCCTCCGCTGCGCGTTAACTTTATAAGAATGTTAGGGGATGATGTTTTATCAATGTTATCACTAAACATGTTTTTAGAGAGTTTATCCTACCTTTTAGGAGAACATTCTGGTATCAAAAATAAAATTAGCTACAGAAAACATTACAAGACCATAACATAATGCTCTCAAAACATTCATAGAACAATAACATTTCTAGCTGGGATGAGCTCATATTGTGGTCATAGTATGAGCACACAGTGAGTGCGCTGTGAGGTAAAACTTTTAGCTCACTGTGACCTCACATTGCTGACGTTGCAGTTCAATGTTAGTTTTTCTCTGGCTGCTGTTACTGTTTGTTATGGCAAGAACAGTGAGAGAACATGCGATCAGATGATGTCAGCTACTTGATGATGATAATGATGATATAATCATGTAGTACTCTGATCAGCTGTTTAATTTCATATAAATGATTATAGTTATATTTCTATAGCATGGCATCAAACAATGTTTAAAAAAGAAAATCTGTACAAAAAAATGTAAAAAAAAAAATTACCAATTTAGACACACTCGAACCTCAAGAATAAGCATGTGAGTCTCAATAACGGTGACATGCTTCATGTATTAGACTCATTGGAGGAGAGTAGTCTGAGCTTCCACTAAAATTTCATTTAATTGTGACAATAATAATATAGTGTCATGTGAAAAAGAAAGGATAACCTATTAAATTCTATGGTTTTATGTCTCAGGACATAATAAAAAATTATCTGGTCTTAAAAGTAGGTACATACAACCTCAGATGAACACAGTGTAATATATTTTACTTTAGACCAATCACGTAGCGCTGAAAAAACAGCAGTTTCTCCCTGACCTCCATATTACACGTGTCATATTTATTTGACAAAAACTAGGCCAAAATGGAAAAGCAATGGGTGAAAAACTAAGTACACCCTTACTGCTTCCATAGGAATTACCGTATCGTTCCAAATATAAGACAATGTTTTTTTCTTGGAAATACATCTGAAAAAATGGGGTTGTTTTATATTCAGCGTCTAAACTTCTACATGACAATAATACAGCCGCAACAATAGGGGGTGCCAAATACGTGAAAAAAACCCAGGACTGATAAACGCAGCAGAGTTAAACAACTCTCATTAAGCAGCCAAGAAATACGGTGTGTCAGTGTTGTTAAAAGATGGTGAGCCTAAAAAGACAGCAGAACGTGGTGGTAAACGCTAACGCTTCGAATAAACTGACAGGCAAGTGTGTCAGTACGTAGCCGAAAAATTAAATGAGGGGTAGCCCATAACCACAGTCGTCATCCAGCTGAAGGCACTTGACATCGCCAAAGAGCTGAATTTACCCACCAGCGAGGCCCATCATTTCTTATTTCAGCTACATAGTCTTGTCTGTCAATATCCTCGAAGCGTGTAATGGATTAGTTGCCCGGTTTTACCTGTATTAACCATACTTGAAATACAAAATTTTGTACATTTAAATATGAAAAACAAGCAATATGAAAATTATTTTCAAATATATAATTTTCTTCAAAAGACAAGATTTGGTCTTCAAAAAGCCTTTTTCCAAAAGGTACATCTTGAAAAAGAGGGGGGTGGGGGTCTTCTTATATTCAGGGTCGTCTTATGAACAATACGGTAAGAGTCTGGCGCTGCTAATCAAATGCCCTTAATTAATTGATCATCAGCAAGTGTGATCACCTCTAAAAAAAGGAGATGTCAAATGTTGAAGTGGCCCAGTCAAAGTCCAGACCTCAACCCGACTGAAGTGTTAAGACCTTAAGACAACTGAAACAAATGCCCACAAACCTCAATGAACTGAAGTAACGTTGTAAAGAAGAATGGGACAAAATTCCTCCAGAACGATGCGAGAGACTGATACTGTCATACAGAAAATCATTCCTTCAACATATTGCTGTTAAAAGTGACTCAAACAATTGAATCACAGGGTGTACTTGGTTTGTCACCCATGGCTTTTCCATTTTGGCTTTATTTTTGTTAAATTAATAATGACACTGTGTAATATGTCATTTGTTGTTGTTCGTTTAAGACCTGCCAACGATCAGATGATGTTCTTCTTTTTATGTTCTGATACGTAAAACCATAAATTTCCAAAAGCTGTCCTTTCTTTTTCACATGAATGTATATATATATATATATATATATATATATATATATATATATATATAATTTATTTTTATTTTTCTACTTTATTCACTCAATTTAAATAAATAAGAATCTTTGACTAAAACACTCACAGACCTTCCAGGTGATGTTATGAATCAATTACTAGAGAAACACATTCTTCATATATCATGAATTCTTAAAACAGTGGACCATACAACACTTAGAGTGATTACTTGACAACATTCAGAGGTCTCTCACCGCTGTTTCGGGTCTTTCTGAAGCAGTCCTGAGAGCAATGATTTTGCCTCGGGCCCAAGTGTACGAGGGAAACGGATCTCATCCATGAGGATTAATTCAAAGAGCTTCTCATGATCCTGGTTGTAGAAGGGCAACCGGCCGCACATCATCTCGTACATGACCACACCCAAACCCCACCAGTCCACCGCCCGGCCATAATCATTGTCCTCAAGAACCTGAAGAAAAAGCAGCAGAGAACCTGAGCCATAAACTTTGAATCTGACAATTTCAAAAGTGGTGTAAATGGGTCAAGATTTTGCTGGTTAGCATGGTAGATGCCATAACTACATTATCAGGGCGAAAAAGTGTGTTTCTCCATTTACAATCATTCAGTGGCTGCTGCTGTGTTCTTACATCATAATTTATTTATATATATTTTTGTATTTATTTTTTTATTTGCATGCATTTATTTTGTTAAATCGCAATTTCATTACAGTATAGTAGATGTTTTGACAGTGATTTTTGGAGGGCTCTTGAAAGCACAAAATGGCTGCCTGTTTACGTCATAGCTCATGGCTTGGCACTGTGCATGTACTGTACTGGTGCCATCAGCCAGTCTTGCCTTGTAATGAAATAATGTTCTCATAATTTTATTTTTATAGTGCTTTTCACAATACACATTGTTTCAAAACAGATTTACAGAAATCCAGGAGAATAATGTTTATAATATCTTAATGCCCAAGTGTCCGCATTTAGAAGTTTTGAGCTGAGCGATAGGATAGTTTATATTTAAGGATGATATAAACAATCAAGCAGTCGAGTTGCTGTGATGTGCTGATTGTTGATATCTGTGTGTGTCATTGTAGATTCACTTTTTGTGCTCATATTTGTTAAAATCTTCTAACTGATTGATGTAATACTGCTGGATCTCATGCTGCTGTAACAGGGCTTGTCACTGGCTTGCTTAGTCCGGGACACTTAATATTCAACAGTTTTATTGATCTGACTGTACTGACGGTTTTGAATGAGAACTGAACTGAACTGGATGATGACATCACTGTTTTCTCCAGAACTGCTTTATAGATGAAATTAACTAAATTAACAATTTATGATCTTTACAACAGAACGGAATCAACACTGAACTGACTTCAGCTGAACAACAGCCGAAATGCATAATTGCTTCTGTTTATCACTGTAACCCACAATGGTAACCATAAAAAGGTTGTGGATGGCTGCATGTGGTGAGATAACAGAAGGAAGATACTCAAAAATCACAGACTCTACTCAATGTATTTGAATCGATATAACAAAAACCAGTCAGTGCGTTAACATGCACTCTCATAATGTGATTATAACGGGATAATGGCCATCCTGCGATTAAACTTTACCTCATGTAAATAATACTTAGATAAAACTAATGCAATTAAGCTCATAATCATAGTAACCATATTCGCATTAACCACATATCATACGCCGGTTTTGATATCAATAACAGCCATGTAAACACCTTAATTGCATTATTATCGCTCTGACCAACGTGTGCATGTGCTCGGTTCTACACGGTGTGTTGTTCACACAACTTCATGAATGAACTCTGTGACATTATTCTGAAGTTTTCTCTGCTCCGCTAAACTCCATCAACACAACTCGCTGCGCAGTCTCTGTCTGTTCCGGCGCGAAGAACGCAGTGGCCAACTAGGGTTGCATAATTCGGTGCACTGTTAGACCTTACCAGGTTTTTTTACAGTAAAATACTGGCAACACTGTTGCCAGTAATTCATTGTTAATTGTACAGTTCTTTACTGTAATCTACAGTATGTTACTGTAAAATGCACTAAATTAAAACTCAAGTTAACTAATTTCACAGTAACCGACTGCCTTAAATTGACCAACTGTCATTTAAATGTATTAACTAAAATTTAGAAGACACTAATAATGTGAGCAAAGTATTACTGTGAACTTATTTCATTTGAGACCACTAAAAAACTATTGTACGTAAAAAGATTTCCACTGGACCAGCAACTACACAGTCAACACCTGTTAAATAAAGCAACATGCAGCTTATCATCAATGTTTTTAGATCTTCTCCTGGACTGAAGCACAGTCTCTACTCTTCAGTACAACGGTGACCCAAAAACTAAATTTTACAGTAAACTACTGGCAACGATGGGTGCTTCTCAATATCTCTCCTCGTCTCCTCGATCCTCCGTCCTCCATCCTATGACCCGGAAACCGATCGAGCTCAGCCATCTTGAAGGACATCTCAATTCTTTAATTGCACCGCGAGGAGGCGAGGAGTGAGGAGGCTTCCAGAGGAGCTATGAGCGAGGATGCACAGTTGTATGCTTTGCGGAAGTGTTTTATCTACTAAACGTGACGCACGTATAAATTCTCCTCCCCCTTCACGTCGGTCACAATCATTTTAATTTATACTTTACCTTTGCAGTTTATATAAACCACACATCTCACATATTTCAACAGGGTATCTTGCTTCATTATTATTTATTACTAATTTCTTAAACAACCAAACTTCAACAATATAAGGGCAGATCCTTTGAGCGCTGCTGATGAGTGATCAAGTATTCCACAGTATAAAAAAACTTTCATTCGATTCCTCTGTCCTCATTTTCTTTCCTTGCAGTCTTCCCTCGCATCCTGCAGGGGGTGGAGCTGAGACGCGAGGAAAGGAAGCAAGGAAAGGAAATGAGGATGCACAAATAAGAATTAAGCATCCAGTGTTGCCAGTATATACCTGTTTTATAACGTACAGTTTATTACTGTTTAAAATACATTTTGTGGGTGTGTCTTTTTATCTTACACTGTTAACCCTTCCAAACCCACAGGGAAATCCACACTACAAAGAGTAAAAAGTAACATTGACGCAGTGTTGCAGTGAGATAATTAAGTGAATATGTAAGTGATTGTTGAGCATTAGTGATGAACACCTGATGTTAACAAGCAGCATCACTGAAGGAAAGATAAACACAAGAACAGAAAATAGAGAAACACAAGACCTACAACTGACTTCCAGCCATTACATATTTCTACACTTATTATTAACCAGTATGACTTTATTTCTGTCATACATCTACAGAAGTTGTTATTGAGATGTTTAATTGAAAATGTTTGGTTTGGAGTTACCATTATAGAGATCAGTGTTTGCTTTAGTTGGGATGCTGACCCTTGTCTTTTGAACATTAGTTTTCTCTTGCTGCTTGAACTCTGTTTACTCAAGTCACACTTGTGCACAGGCACGGTGAGTGAATGTTTGCAGTTATATTGATTATGATGACAAAATCACCATATAGCCTGTTTATTCACTAATCTCATTCAGAGTTTAATTCTCTATCGAAAGTGTGACATTACCACCACTGTGAAACTACAGGAATGAGATACAATGTCTAATATTTTTTAACACATATGCACAACCAAAAAAACGGAGCTACACTGTCTTTTAGAAACAGATATATCAAAAATGAACACATGAATCGCATCAATGGTGGCAATATATATTTTTTTATTATTATGCATTAATGCAGCAGGGCATGCTGGCAGTTTTATTCTATCCTGGAACCCAGCATGCATTGCGACATGAAACTTTTTATTGTCACCATTGTTGAGATTCATATGCTGATTGTTGATGTCTGTGTGGGTCAAAATCAAGCAGGAGTTAAACATGTTTTAATGCACTATATGAATTCAATATCCTTCAGAATAACTGATTACAGTAATATTGCTGGATTTCATGTTGTAGATTCACAGAATAAATATGAAATACCCATACATTCAAAGCTTATACACAGGATGAGATTAGAGAATCACACATGATTATAGCATCATCGCAACAGCCAAAAACACCTGATCAACTTTCTCTTGACTTTTTCTTGCCATAACAAATGTGTTTTATAAATTCACTGTTACAGCAGCCAGAGAGAAACTAATGTTATAAAGTCAAGGGTCAAGAGAACAACTAAAGCAAATACTGTTCTCCATCATGGTGACTACAAACTTTATTATTAACTAAATCTCTGTTAATTCTCAACAAGAACTTTTGTACATGTATGAAAGAAATAATGTTAAACTGGTTTGTAAACTGTTTTCACACTCAGTGTGTTCCACTCAGACTGGAAGTCAGTTGTAGTTCTTGTGTTTCTCTTTTTTCTGTTCTTGTTTCTCTGTCTGTCAGTGATTCTGCTTATCAGGTGTTCATCAGTGTCTCAATTCACTCACTTCTTTTCATTCAAGTGGACTATATTAGAGAATAATTAATGTAGGGAATAATGAGGGTATATGGTGTGATTTGGAACACAGCCTCTGAGTGTCAATTTTGAGCGCTGTTAATTCACAGTATATTACTGCAGGCTATTTTCTCTAAAATGACAAATATAACCCAGAATGCATTGTTTTCTACGGTATTTTACTGTTTTAATGGAAAATAGTATGAAACTGTCAGAATTTTGGCCTTTTTTTACAGCAAGGGTTAACAGTGAGAGTCACAATATTCGGCACAACACCAGCATTGCAATGTTTATCACGGTGCTGAATAATATCCAATACGTCCATAAAAATGTATTTTGTAAATTGAGTAGATTAAAACAATGGCCGATAACATGCATACAGTGTGCCCATCAGAGTGTGGTATAACCTTCTTATTAGCGAATAATCAGAATAATGAAAATTGCATGCAAACTGAAGTGAAGAATTCTGTTCAGGTCATGTAAACATCTTACTGCGATTAAGACCTTACTCTGATTATTAAAAATAATCACGTTATTTGTGCACATGTAACAACGTAGTGAGTGATTAAGTGAGTAACTAAAAATATATGATTAAAATGAAGATGTGTTTATTTTGTGTAACCACTTGCCTTAAAAAAATGAGTAAAACCAAAAAGCCATTTCTTTTAGCTTTCATCATGCGGTGATATGAAAATCTGCAAGGTTTGCAAAAAATATATATTTTAGTGTCTTCTTTTGGAGGTGTCTGATTGCCAAAACACAATTCTCCAGGCAACCAAATAGCAGAGGATAAACAATGCTGTAGATTGTTAGCATTTGTTTGACAGTAAAATGATCAACAAGCATTATCTGGGCTACATGTACGTACTGTATAGATGCCAATTAAACCAATATCTCACTCACTAGCAATGTTCCCTCTAATTTTTCTACATGATTTTATCCTTGGTTTAACTAAGTGGTATTAAATCATATTTTTGAAAACAAGCAGTAAATTCGGA